CTTCAAGTTTTTATAAATTAAATTTTATTATTTAAATGTTTATAAAATAGCAATTTAAATTTTGAATTGATTCATAATTAAGTTTATATTTAATTGATTTATATTATTATTTTATATATTATATATTATATATTATTTTATATTATTATTTATATAAGATAAGGAAGAGGATTTCTTCAAATCTAATCGAGAAACAAGAATAAATTATATCTCTTTGTTATGCGATATTCCTGTGCTAGATTATCCCTAATCGTTGTCACCCAGACATTAAGTATAAAAAACCCATGAGAAGTTTGCCATTCTAGTTTTCTAAATAAATTGGAAAAGTCGAATTAAATTATAAAATTACAACCTCGAATGGCTTTTGGACAAGGTAAAATAGAAGACAATTAGAAAACCGAAACACTCCATGAAGATGTGAGCGAAAATGAAATTTGTTTAACGAAGTCATTTCACCGCTATTGCTTTTCTTCCTTCTCATTTGCATCTTCGTGAATTAGATTGCAGACGTACAAGCAGACTCGCAATCAGTAACTTTTCCTCGTAAGAAAATTACGTGTTTACAAAAGCTCGAAAGATGCAAAAGCAAAGAGGTGAAAGTAATTAAAAAGAAAAATGTATGTATTTAAAAAAAATAAGCGAATTTTTTTTCTCGTTGACATACAACGAGCAAAATCGGTTACAACAAGTAGAAGGGTAATTGCCAACGATAAAAATCGAGCTTTTGCGACGATTGCGGGAAGAAAATTGGATGATAAAGATGTCGTATTACGGCGACGGACAACGAAGTAATTAAAGGAGAGGGGAAGAATGAATATTCTTGATCCTTGTACGACATTCTAAGTCGAATTAGATTAAGGAAAAAGAAAGATTGTGATTAGCTTAAACACTTGAAATGCACGATGCAATTCTGTATCGATGATTTTTATCGAAAGGACAGAAAACTTTATTTGCTAAAGCAACAGTTTGTACATAATTCGATCATTTTTTAAGAAAAATTTAGTGCAATGCACTAAGAGATTCTATCTTTGAACGTGAAAATTTTAACATCACGCAGACAGAGTTTTATTATCAAAAAGAAACTGTTTCATAAGTTTAGAAATCGCGATCTGAGTAAAGGAGTTTACACACAAAATAGACAGGAATAAAAAATGTAACATATATGATAGTATATTTTTTATATTTTTGTAAATATTTTACACATATACGACCCATCCGTTTCCACTATAAATTCATGTTTTTAGCGCACAAGTAGAGAATTACATATGACAATGCATATCGAAATTTTCATTTTAAAACTTTATTACAAGTCATTTTAAAGTAGTTCTTACACGTATCACATAATACATATCATGAAAGGGATGTGGCGAGGAAATTCAGACAATACAATACATATGTATACATATATTGTAATTTGCAAGTATAACCTTACGATTTATAATTACTTTATTTTGATCGATGGAAATAAAATATAGTAATGTAATAAAATATAGTAATGTAATAAAATATAGTAATAAAATATAGTAATGAAATATAATTTTAGAAATATTCTCTCAATATTTTTCTCGATAGCCTCAACATTCTCATGTGCTGCATTTTGCTGCAACTAATTGTATAATATTTACAATTTATTTGTGTTATGTATGAAATAACATAGATGTTATTTTTAATAATATCATAAATGTTATTTTGTGTTTTAGCGAGATATCAATCGCGAGCCACTCGGATAGTTCAGCTTCTGTGACCAAGATGAACTTACATAAGATCCTGCCGTGGATATGGTGCTTCCTAATTACAAGCGAATGTTACAATGCAAAGAATAAAGGCGAGGATGGCTCAAAGTTGATACGTATTGATGGTGACATTATCCTCGGCGGGATCTTTCCGATGCACGAACAGGTAAGCTTCTTTAGTTTATCTACACAAGACTTGACGTATAAATGGTCCTGTACTTCCTGTCAGCTGCAGATTTTCTCAATAAATTTGGAAACAAGTTTTCTTTATTGTTAGTTGGAATTAAGATTTGATTGGTCATATTTTTTTTAATTTTTCATGATAAATATCTTAATAATGTGGGATTGTGAATGGAACTTGTACTAAAATATGTTTAAAGTTAAATGGAAAATAAGCATTTATTATCTATTTAGGTAATTTACTTATAAGATTTTTATTCTCTATACTAAATTAATATTTGTACTAGTTAAATTTTTCAAGAAATTTATCTTGAAGTTTTTTTAATTTGCCGAAGCAAATTTTGGCTTGTAAAGCATGATTTCTAATAAAAATATATAATCATTGTCGTATGTACATAATCATCGCGAATGTATTACAATTTTTTGGTGATTTTTTTATGGACAAAGTTAAATATGTTATCTTTCATATGTAAAGATTAAATTGGTACGCAACTTCTTTTATGTTGGACTTCGCCTGGAGCGGGTCAATGTGCAAACATCTCGACTCTGCTAGTCGTTGCACTTGTATCCATGAAAGTGCACTTTTACCTTATTCTACGCTCTTTCGTTTCAAATTGCCTCGCAGAAATCGCGTTCTCGTCTTTCGAGCTTGTTCACTTGAAAATAACGAATATTTGGAATAAGAATAATATCCATCGCGTTAAACAAATAAACGCACTCCGTTTGTTTCCTATAATTGTTGAGTCCATTAATATTAATTAGCAAACGATGAAAACTTTTTATCTTAATTTTTTATAATCGAAAAGGTGAAATTAAATCATTCTCACAAACAAACACATGCGCTTTTATTTTTATAAATTAGAACTAAGTTTTTCAGTTTCCATATTATATTATATATTAAAGCAAATTATAAGTATTTATAAACAATTAATCTACTTTGCAATTAGTAAAAGATAAACGTTGAAATTCAATCTTTTCTATACAACATTCCGCTATTTTTTTAAATTTCAAAAATGGCAAAACTTTTATTCTTTATAATTAAAATTATTTGCGATCTTTTGAAATTCCATTATATGTATGTATAATGCATTAAGCAAAATATGAAGCATACGTCTTTCCGAAAAAAATTTTTAAGAAAGTTTTTAAGAAAGAAAAAAAGGTAATTAAATTAAACAAGCTAATAATTGTAATTTAATCGTGTAACCTTGTTTTATCTCGAATTTTATTTATTTAGATATAAACGAACTGGGTCGTGTATTTAACATTTCGCTATTTCGTGAAAAATAATTTATTACGCTGCCGTACGGAAAATAAGTCAACTTTTGAAATTATCAAGCATGTGTTACGCAACACACGTAAAAGTTTGACGTAATAAACTCTGACTCTCGTCTTTGACGTCATATCATTCTCTCTCTCTCTCTCTCTCTCTCTCTCTCTCTCTCTGTGTCTGTGGACTGTGTGTGTATGTGTGTATGTGTGTGTGGCACGTGCCTGCGTGTATGTCCTATCATCACAAAATGTTTCACTAAGAAAGAACACAGAAAAAAGAAAGAGAAATAAATAAGTACAATTTTACGAAAATTGTTTCAAAAGTTTAGCTTTAATATTCTTTCTGCTAAAAACTGATTTTCGTGGAAACGAATTTTCATGGAAAATTATACACAAAATTATAAAGCGGATGGCGCAGCATATGCATCTGTCTAAAAAATATATAATATTTATTTTAAATAACAAAAAAAGAAAGAAAAATAGTCTACTCTCGCTACAGCCGTACGCTATATGATTTTTACAGTACGAAACTGTATTGTAGTGAAAAAAAAGAAAAAGTTTTTTAAAATCATCATCTAGTTTTTTCGTTATAAAAGTAAATAGTAATTTTAAGAAGATATAATGTGTATGTGTGAGTATAAGCATTAAATAGAAATAAAATATACAATTTGATATGAATATAAGTGCATTGTCAAACAATATAATATAATAATATTGTATAATAGGTAAGTTAATTTAAAAAAGTACATAAACGTTATACAATTTTTTAATTAAATTTTTAATATAATTAAAAATTACCTTATTAAAGCTAATTGTTCATGCATTTAATTGTTATTTTATAGTATGGAGTATTATTTATAATATTTATAATATTTAGTATTATTTATAATATTAAGATTTCAAATTCATATATTTATTGTTTTAAAATTGTTATTTAACATACAATTTTAGAATTTATTAATCAAAACTTTTAAAATGAAATAATTATTATTTTTAGTGTGAACATATATATATGTATAAGCACGAAATGTCATACTTATACATTTTCCAGAATTTTATTTTGAAAATTCTTTATTAAGATTTTGCTTATTTTTCCCTAAACTCAACTTCTTTATCTCACATCTTCTCAAATACGTGGCTAACAATAAGTTCGATTGCTGCGCAAAAAGCGAAGTAAACATGCTTGTAAAACGTTACCTTTCAGTTTTAGGTATAAAATAATATTGAAAACTTTAAGCTGATTTATTGTTGTCGCACAACTAGTTCGTGCAAATTCCGTCGTTCACTGAACTTCCACTAACGGACAACTTTCGTTCTCGCCAGTTGTTCTTGTCGCTCGATGTAGTGACTCCTGTGAAACGAACTGGACTCGCGGATGATTAATTTTTTTCAGATAAAGGTTCTAGTGAGGCAATATCGCAACTTTTCCTATATCAACACTAATATCGATTTTCTTCAAGAATAACGAGTAAAAATTATTTATCAAAAATAAAAAGATTCGTTTGTTTTTAAAATTATTGCAATTTCAATATAAAATATAAGTAATTTAAATATGTTATATTCTATTATAATTATGTATTAAAGAAATCTTGAACACTAACTGCTTATTAATTATTAATTTTTACAATATATGTATATAAAATCTTTGCGAGATAATGGTATATTATAAAATCTTTCTTTGATAAATTATTATCTCTTTAAAAAATATTCATTAACAAACAGCTTTGTAGCTGGAATTTATACAATTTATATTATTATTTCTGTGTTATACACTTGACTAATATTTCTTTATTTTAAAGTTAAAATATTCATGAAAATATTCATACATATATATGCATAATGAACTAAATAAATTAAATGTTTAATTCTATACGTATGTGTAAGCAGAGAATATTCGTCTCTCTCGTTTCCTACATGTTTCGATTTTCGACAAAACAGATTTTGGATTGTTAAAATTAAAACCTTTATTCCGGGAAAGCTTCGTAATTCCGGAAACGAATGGTCAGCATTCCCAACTGATTTCACAAACATTAAAATCAACGGCGGGATCGTATTGTCGCCTGAATTTACGAGCGTGTTTGGTCGCGGACTGTGTATTTTTCGGTTTGACGAAATCCCTCTATACAGCAACGCGCGGATTTACAGTATTACACTACGTATCCATAACTTTTCTCATACTCCTTGAACTCGACGTCAACAGCGTCGAGCAGACGAGCAGTGCATTCGACCGTAGTGTTCGAGAATACGAGGGGTCGAAGTCTGTCATTTGATCTTTCGGTCCCATGACGCCAAGTCGTGCTCGTACACGCGGTGCTATTGTAGCTAGACATTGTACAAATGAATGGCTCTGGGGAAATGTAGGGCATTAATCTATCGAAATTGAACCAACCATTGATTCTATCTTATTCTTTGCTATCGCTTTTCCGAAGAGGCATCGTTTCAATCAAAATTCATCGTTTGCATTGATACGTTTAAATTGTTCACCGCGCTTGTGATATTTGAACGTAATATGTAACGAAAAAATATAGTCAAATTAAAAAGAGACTATATATATCAAAAATCAAAATGTTTTGTTAAAATGTTTGTATCTATTACACAAAGCTAGAGCGCATATTATAATATTATTAATTCGTAGTATGAATAAAAAGTATAAGATAACTTTAAAGATATAAAAATAAAATATCTAAAAAGTATATAAAATATATAACTAAGAAGTAAATACAAATATACGTATAATATGTAAAAACTATATGCTACTGCACTAAAAAGTAAAACAAATTACACATTTATTTGTTTCCAGGTCGCAGGTTCCATCGGCCAATCACCATGTGGGGCAGTAAAAGAAGAGAAAGGTATACAACGATTGGAAGCCATGTTATACGTCCTGGACCAAATTAACAATGATACAGATCTTCTACCGAATACAACGTTGGGTGCTCTTATCCTCGATTCTTGCAGCAGCGACACTTATGCTTTGGATCAAAGTATGGAGTTTGTCAGATCATACATGAATCAAGTAAGTCGCTATTTCATCAGCATAATGATATTTATTTTGTTAAGTTTTGTGACTTTTTTTTGTAAAATTTTTAAATGTTAAAAAGAGAGTTGAATAATAAATGTTTTCTCTCTCTCTCTCTCTCTCTCTCTCTCTCGCTTCAAATTGCTAATCTTCAATAGTTTATAAGAAGAAAAATCAGTCTCGTATTTTGTACAAAAATTATATTTCATGAATTATATTTTATGAAATCAGAATAATTCGACTCATGTTCAAGATAAAAAAGAACGACAATACAATCTTCAAATAAATTTATTCAATCAATATTCGTTTTCCGATTATTCTCGCACGCGATGGTGCAGTCTGTTGCGCGCGAACTCTGCCACTGCTACTTCATTAAATTACGCGGAAATAACGTTATTTCACGTCAGTTTTGAGATAAAAGATTCAATCTATTTGATATAAAACAGACCATACGGGTGTGCAAGGGAAGAATTTATGACTTGGCGGTCTTGCGCGAGAACGGATAGAAATTTGATCGAAAGGAACGCTCAGGACGCATGATCGCACATTATTTCCTTCCTTGCTTCCTTCTGCCTTCTAGACATTTGTTCTCTTTATAGACTCAATAACAAGCTTTATTGTGTCGAAGCTCGATCACCAATATGTTTTCGAGCTAGGAATGCTTTCTGTTCCCCAAGGTGCAATAGGAAATTTACGGATTCAAGAAAAGATTCAAAAATTCACTTTATTGATAATCATTACAAATGTGTTTGAAACGATAGGATTTTATCTTTCTTTTGCTTTTATTATAACTAATCAGTTTTAATCTCCTTTTCCATATGAAATATTTTACAAGTTAATTTAATAACATTAAGAACATATGATGAATAATATCTTAATACGGTTTTAATTTAAGACTTTAATTTAAGACTACTATAGTAAGAAATGTAATGTTGAAAACTCAAGAATTATAAAGAGTATAATAATTTATTAAAATTTTTGCGTTGAGTAGAATGCGTCAAACAGAGAGTTTGTAGCTAAAAGAAAATAAACGTTACTTGTGGTATACTTTACGCCACGATTTCCGTCAAAATTACTAGGTCGAAAAGCAAGGTTGAAGAAGCTGTAGGGGATAAAAGTAAAACTGGATTTCTAAGTTTTCAGCCTTGGGGTAATTAGTTACATTTTCTAAATTTTCATACGTCGTCGTTATCGTGTCTAATTCTTAGCAAAATAAGCATCTCACGAAAATAGATACGCGGTTATTCGCGTGCCATCGTTCTGGGAGCTCCCAAACTTCAGCAACAGTAACGACGGGCTGCTTTAGTTGGTTATCCATGCCGAAGCAGCGGCGAGAGACGATTGGATAACATCTTCCGCAAAGCTGATTAAATGCAACAACTCCCAGTGCTCTCGCCACTTCTGGCGCAATGAACAACCGACGCCAAAACTTGTTTTAATGGAAATTCATGGCTATATATATCTCTTATATTTTTAGAATTATTACATGTAATAATGTAGCTTAAAATTGAATTGTTTTTTATATTGGAATTTTTTCCTCAAAATATTTTTATAATAATCAATTAATTTATAATTTTTTAAACTAAATTTTAGTAAAATACAAATTTGTTTAATAAATTTTAATATTAAACTAAAAACTCTATTTTAGAATGCAATTATCGTGCAAGATGTGCGCAATTATTGTATACGATATGGATTCTTTTTGCTCAATAAAGTAAATAACAATTTTATAGTTGATGAATTTTTATTCAGCATATTTTATTCATAATTTTGTAATGTATCAAATTGATGCATGCTGTAATAATAATAATAATAATAATAATAATAATAATAATAATAATAATGTGCTACATATATTGTGCGTGTAGACAGAGATATATAGCAAAATTCGTGAAATAAATGAAGTTGTCCAATTGATATCCTATGAAATATCTTGAGAGTTATACGGTATTTTGAAATATTGAAGGAATTATGTTGCCAGCAACTTAATTAAAGGCTACACGCGCGCGCGAGAATTAGAAATTAGGGCGTAATAATATAAATACATGCATGTCACATATTTGTTTTCGAAATTTATTTTCATCTAAATGTGAATGATATTCTTGTTTTTGTCTTTTATAAAATAATCATTTTTTTAAATAAAATTTTATAGTTTGGTATAAAATCGATGTTGTTGTTTCTATATAAATTAAAGAAAAAAAAGGATATGTTATACCTATTGTTATTAGTGAAATAGATATAACAAGAAAATTAAAATAAAATTGCAATCTATGTGTGTATCAAATGTTTTAAATTTTTATTTTTAACAATTAATGTAAAAATATAATTTTAGTTTTTATATAACATCGAAAAGTTCGCAGCAGAAAGAATCATACTATAAATTGAATAATTAACAAATTAATTTTTATATAAATAAATACGGAATTGGTTAAAATCAATTATCGTTTGCTTTTCGAACAACAAGAAAGAATTGAAACAGTGATATAAAAAATCTGACTATTTATATAGTAAACATCATTAGAGATCGTATATGTAGATTCGCTGATAAATGTTCTGTATAATAGAGGAGAAGTATAATATGAAAAAGTTCATATAATCGTGTTAACAATAAGAAAATTGTGTAAACATTATTTTATATTTCAAGATGTAACCCCAGTAATCACGTTACGTCGCCACGATTTGTCTGAGTGTGTAGGACGCGCGATAAATATGTATCGATGGAAATTATACATTCGCGATGAATCCAAATCGTTACGTCGCGGTCGCGGCGCCGTGTCCCCGTTGCGAATATTACAAAGTACAATGGCGCCGAGTCCCGCGAACTGAAGTGGGAATACCAGTAAATATTTATTATCGCTCAGTCGCGCCAAATGAGAACGGATTCGTTCGAAGAGATGCGATTCTATCCGCGGATCTATGCGCCAATCCTCGCACTTACGATTACATCGGTGCCGACGACGGATGAAAACAAGGTAAATATTTATTGACGTACCAGAGGTGGGGCTACAAGCCACTTTTTGTACACGGCTACTCGAGGCCAGGGCCACTCAAGCTGAGGTCGCGCACTGAAGAGGATACACGATCGATCGGTTTTTCTCCCTTTAATTCGCCGTGAGTCAGCTGTTAGTTGGTTCATATTATTATATAGAATATAAACTTTATGAACGCGAACGCATTTTTTCTTCACGTACGATAAGACCATTTCAAGTGGTCCGCTTAACATAAGTATTGTTGTCCAAATAATATGAGACCATAAATACACAATATGTATGAGCGAAGAAATATCGGAAAATAATTTTAATTTTAAATATGACGTTTAATAATAATTAATAATTTGTATTTATATAATTGTATGTATAGAATATACCAGTAGATAAAACTTAGGTACATCATATATACAGTGCAACTGAACAGTAACAATAGTAATGAGCTAAATATTATTAAAAGATAAAAATATACATATATGGATTATATGTATATTATATTATTTTGTGAACATATATAATAATTTTTTAATTTTCTCAATATATTTAATGACATCAATGTACATTTATAAAACATCACGATGTTCCATTATTGGACCATGAGTTTTCGAGAAGATTGCTGCATGATAATTCATACAAAGCACTTTATAATAAATTGCTTTTTGAAATGATAAAGGATGGTTGAAAATGAGGTGGATAATTGTGTGGGAGAGAAACGTCATGATTGCCAATCATGCGATAACTAACGAGAGAGAGAGAGAGAGAGAGAGAGAGAGAGGGAAAGAGAGAGAGAAGAGTCTTATATCATTTTTCATATTTTCCTTTTATACTTTTTCGAAAATCTTGCATATTTTGCATCTCTGTGCTGAGTTTCGTGAAAAAACCATTTTTGTCTACTACGTTTACTTGTTTTTATTATATATGCAATATACATACACACACACACACACACACACACATATGTAT